TTTAGTGCATCAGGCAGTCCACACTCTGGAACTATCGACACGTGTCGCACATGATTGAGCCTTTCGGAGCTTTCATCACATGGTGCCATTCAACATCGTCGGCGGTAGCTCCGCTCATCATCCTTGATGCTGGTTCGCACCTCTTGGCCATCGTGGAATCTGTGAACACAAAGAAAGGCCTGCAAGAAGTTTGCAGATTCTTACCGACATTGATCCCAACAGGACGAAATTTTCAGAGCACTCAGCGTTGCACTTAGAACCTAAGAAGCTTGTCAAAAAAAAACACTGCAACACGAGCACAAACCTTGCAGCCTCAACCTATATACCTTGAAACCTATCTATGGTGCATGCGTTAGGGCAGATTTGGAGTTTCCAGCTAGTGACCCCGAAGCTCAAGTAAAAGCAACAATGTAGGAATAAGCGCAGGCTGGAAGCCTGCGAACCCGGTGGAGCTCCTGCCTCCCTGCACTGGGCCTCCTTCATGAGTGCGTTCTGCTTCTCTACAAAAGAGCAGAAAATCGAGCAAACCAAAGCAGAAGGCTAGTCTTCAGGATTTTTAGCACCCTGGCGGAATTCCGAGAGGGTTTGGGGTATTTCGCAGCGCTGAGATAACGCGAGTCAGAATCAGATCAACTGGCTTCGGCATCATGTAATCGAATAGTTAGACCTCAGCTTGACGGCTTGGTAGTATCCGGGACGGCAAGAGGTATTAGGAAGTTTAGCCGCTTGTTATGGAACCGTCACGCTAGAAAGGTTCTGCTACATGACGCTTGGAAGCAGCACACGTGCCCCTTCAGCCTGGAGCCACCACGGCCGGCGGCGCGAGCGGTGCCAGTTCCGGCTCGGATCCTTGCCGAAACGGTCCCCGAGACCCTGCAACTGAACTGCCGACTTCTCTAGACCCTAAACCTTGGACTTGACGGTATCAGCCGAGAGAGCCCTGTTTACTGCAAGCACCGAGCGTTCTAGTTCTGATATAGGCTCAAGAGTGCGTGCCACGTTCGGTGCTCAGAGTATCGGGCGTAAGCTTCGTGGCTCGGCAGTAGCTTTGGCGTTTCGAGCTTTCAAGTGTTGAGGCTTGAGGGTTGTATTGCGTTGGAAAAGCGGCCTGTAGCTCTAGGCTCCAACATAAATAGTGCCGCAATGAAGGCCGCAGCGGACATGTGGTCTACATGCGCGATGTCGCATGTAGCCCTCACGGCGAAAAGGCATCTGTGACGAGAGGCCCAAGATCTGAACTTACAAGTGATCATGCAGGTCGCCTGCAAATTGAAAACCCATCAATACTATTCAACAGAAATACATCAGATAAATGCGTCTCAAAGTTCGACAACGTTGAAGGATACAGCAGAACACCCTCCCAACCCTTAATTCAACACACGCCGAATGCCAAACAAAACAGACCAAAAGCCGCAATGCCGTAAACGCTCAAAGCCGAGGGGCCGCTGGAGGATTCCTGAGAAAACAACCCAGAGTTCATGCAGGATTAGGGTTCAAGGTTGCTTACCCTGGAGTACATCAAACTCTCATTCAGGGGCTCTTGGGTCAGAGGGTTGTTCGGTTCACGGCACTGCAGAGCAGGGACAGGACTGCCGATGTCATTCGCATTGTGCTGTCATGGTGTGGGGTAAACCGTCATTGGCCGGCCACTAGAGCTAAACCACGCAACGGACAACAGAATCGGATGAAAAATCCGCAAAGCAACGGGACTTTCAGCCATTTGCACTCCTGTTCTCTTAAGGCTTTCAGTCGGAGTCGGAGTTCGGATGTAGACTTAAGCTAAGCATGCCCCAGGACTTTGGCTGTCGACCCGCTCAAGCTGAGCATGATTGGCAATAGGTTGATAATCTCTTCGATGTTTGCTGGGCGATGACAAACTATGGTGGAAACCAAAAAGTTGGAACATGCGCACCCTGACATCCAGCACTCCAGAAGCGAGCCCATGCAAGTTCCAATTTTGACATAAAGCTGCAAAGTCCCAGCATGTAGGTGCGACAGTGCTGTCCTGACATGCGGAAACCAAGGACCCCAGCAAGAATACAATCCAAGCCCCGGACAAATGTCTCCCGCACGGGAAGTGGGGATGGAATGGCGGCAGGGGTCGGAATCGGAGCTTTCACCGGAGAGGGTGTTGGTGTCGCCATGGGATCTAGAGCCGACACCGGAGCAGGCGGTGCTGCTGCCATTGGAGTGGGTGCCGGCGCCGGGACCGGTGTTGCCCTTCTCGCGGAGTTGTTGCCTGGGGCTTTGAGTGGTCAAACATACCTATGGTGTTCACCGTAGCCATAACCGCAAAACCCTACTAATCTCAGACTCCAAACCCTCTATACTCCTTTTGTTTGAACCGACAAGCTCAGACCTTCAATAGCAAGTCAACATCCGCAAGTTCAGAGCGGCTATGTTGTCCATGCTTCGTGATTTAGGGAAGCATATTGCTTCTGTCTCGCGGCTTCAGCACTTGGTTTTGAGTGCTGGAGTGGAATACTCTTATCGGTTTAGGGTTTAAGGCTTGATGTTAAGGGTATGGATGAAATCTCACCTGCACTACCGACTACTCGGCAGCTAATGCTCTGGAGATGCAACAGTCTGTGCCTCTGGAGGCGCATGGGTAGCCATGCAACTCCTTGTATATGGGTTGCAACATGTTAAGTGTGATGTGTGTGTGTGTGTGTGATTTTATTATATATATATATATATGTATATATGTATGTTACCCCCTGAACTGCGACTAGAGCTACCATACATGACCCCAGTGACAGCTACCTACGAAACCGCAAGTAGGATGTTCCAAATGATAATCCGGCAAGCCGCCGGCTGCTTCCAGCAGCGTGCCATCAACCAAGTAGCCTTGACTGTCTGGAGTAGTTTGGTGTTGAGTCTCATGCGGTCTGAAGTATTTTGCTGAAGCAATAGAAGCAGCTTTCCGGGGCGAAGATTGCTGCAGGCAGGAGATTGCAAAGGAAGTCAAAAGGAATCCCACTTCTGAGGTTTCAGGCCGCATTATGCCGCATTGCCAGCGGCTGCAAGTTGGCCTTCTGCTTATGAAGGGGGTGTTGGCGAGGAACACTTTATGCTTAGAGAAACACGGGAAGAAAGGGAGATGACGCACAGAACATTGGGCAACTAGCTTGGCAGTGGGCGGCTCAACTCTGCTCCGCTCACTTGGACTGTTCTGCCTTCGGGCCACTCTTGAAAGGGAAGACTCGAACAAAATGCAACGATTCAAGCCCGAATTTTCTGAGCATAAAGCCCTCAAGCACCGTGCTCCAAAGATAAGGCCAGCAGCCAACATCCGCGGCACATGCAGATTCAGGCAGTGGTGATCCTGCTTTGCAATGACTGTTCACCGAATCAGCCCGAACCCTTAAATTTCGAACAGGAGACTGAAGGACTCGTCACATCGCTCCTGGGCTCCTTCCTACACAGCTTGTTCGCAGGCATCGTTTCCAGCATACACACCGGGGCCGGTACCGAAAAGAACCTACAATGGATATCAAGCATAAACTCAACTCTTGCCCCGTAGCCGCAGCTCGAACACCCTGGGCCCTCGGCCCTAGATCATAGCCTCCACACGCTACACTGCAAGGGCTGTACGCGAGGTATTGGGGGTGCGGGGAGTGGGGAAGGGGCCTGCTAAATACCGGCAAACAAACAGTGCAAACCTCTACCCACCGCCCACACCGCCCCCACCGCCCTCACCGCAAACCCTGAGTTCTAATCAGGTTCGGCGCACGTATGGCTGCTTGTTCCTGGGCATGGCTTTCACGAATTCAGTGTTTGAGATTTAAAGATAGTGTAGGTTTGAGACTGAGGGAGCCCTCATAGCGATTCCCCTGCGTGGTCTTGCGCCTACAGGGCCTAAACTCAACAATCCGATCTGTGGTATTACGGGCATACCGCATTCTTGTACATACGATAATTTGCAAAATGCGAGCCGAACAACACTCATCACTTTAGTCGATATGTAGTTGTATAGCAAGTAGTCGGAGGGTCTATAATCTACGCATGTTCTGCCAGCGGGCTGCCAGGATCAATAATCTGCTGTCGCCTTCTGTTCAGAGCTACAGAGGATATTGTAGGTGCCATACTTTGTAGAGAGCGGTAGTAAGGTACAGAGCCACAAAGCAACCGAAGCCAAACACGGCTCGACGGAATGTCCAGACCATGCGCAATCGCCCACTGAGGAACGTGATTTGGTGCGGCTCGCAGGCTGTGGGATTGGGAAGTACCTGCCTCAGGTAAACCATAAAATAATCGTCTAAGCCTCAAGTACGAGCGGTGGCAAAACTCCAAGCCGGAACCCTGATGATAAACTTGAGCTGAAATCCAGAACTGTACACGAAGAAACTCAGCTTGAAATCCGCAACCCTGAGTCGCAACCCGTGTTTTCCCAAAAACCCTGATACCCCAAGCCCTACACCGTTACCCCGACAACCTAAACTCTAAGCCCTAAACCCGAAACCCTACACCCTAAACCCAAAGCCCTAAACGCAAAGGTTTGTCAGGCAAGGGCTGGATGGACGCCGCAAAGGGACGCTCGTTGGAGAGGTATTTCTCCAGCACGCCGCGGACCTTAAACTGGTTCAGAGCATATGAGCTTATAGGGTTTAGGGTTTAATGATGACGGAAGAGTGACACCGACAAGGAAGCTCGATCAAAGCCCCCAGCTTTACACCCCATAAACCACACACAGACTCACACCCTAAACCCCGTAAACCACACACCTACTCACACCCTAAACCCTGGACCCCCTAAACCCCCCGTAAACCACACACCGACTCACACCCTAAACCCTAAACCCCCCAAACCCCCATAAACCACACACCGACTCACACCCTTTTTGCAACTGGCTTGCAACGTCACGCCAGGACAGCTGTCTCGCTCCACGCTGCACTCGCGACAGCCTAAACCCTAAACTCCTTAAACCCCAAGACCCAAGCCCCAAACGAAATTCAGAGAAGCTGCAAAGAAGTCGTGGACTGCAGGCAGCTTCAATGAGCTCATGTGGCTAAATGCCTGGCTTTTCACTGGGTTTAGGGGTTTGGGTTTTGGGTTTAGGGTTTGGTTCTGGTGAGAGAGGGAAGGTTGAAAGGTTCATGGTTTAGGGCTTAAAGTGTCTGGAGGCTTCGATACGTCTTTTTCCAACTTGGCTCCGCAGGCTTTGAGGGGTTCTGCAGAGTTTAATGCTTATGTCCGATACACGGGCCGGAATAACAATTACTAATGGCATAACATACCCCGAATTGGGGCTATCAGAATGTACACAAACACTGAGATATACTGAGACTCGGCATTCCCCTTACAGCACATTAGGTCTTACATCTTTGGGGCCACCTTCACATGCAACGAGAACTGAAAAGAGCTACGCACCTTGACGAGTACCCGACCCAACCCCACCCAACCCCACCCGGCCCCACTCGGCCCCACCCGGCCCCACTCGGCGCTGCCCGGCTTCACTGAGTATGCCTGCCCAACCCCTCCTCACTATCGTATTTCATACTATTGAATGAAGTTCCAATGCCTGCCCAACCCCTCCTCAGCCTGGCCCCAACCAACCCCACCCGGCCCCACTCGGCCCCACCCTAAACCCTAAACCCTAAACCCTAAACACCCGGCCCGATGCCTGCCCAACCCGTCCTCAGGCCCACTTGTCTAGCCTGTTGCACGGGGATCCTTCATGGCCTGCAGTGAAGTTGACTTTAGGGTTTTGGGTTTAGGGTTTAGGGTTTAGGGTTTAGGGGTTGACGAAACACGCTCTCCGGCCGCAACCACCTTTAAGCTGTAGGTGCATCGGAGCTGAACGCATGTGACCAAGAAGACTCCCGTTCACGTACTTCAATGGCAGGTCTGTGCTGTATCCATTGGGGGAACCAAAAGCGGATGGCAGTTTTGCAGGCTCGCGGAACATGTCATGCAGATCCCTGAATCCTACACACCATGATGATCCGACAGCTTTACTTGTGGACTGCTGCAAATTCCAAGCTTTCGATCAGGAATCGTGCCAGCCGCACGTTCCACCGATTTCTGTTCGGAACGCCCAAACGCCGACCTGCATGTTGAACTGCTTGCGGCACACGCATGTCACAGTATTCAAGGGCACAGGGCGGGAAGGCACATGTGGTAAAGCAAAAAGAAGTGCAAAAGCTGCTGCAAACGAACTGCCACGTCGAGGCGCAGGTTGTGTGGTAAGGTAGTGAGTCTTGTGAGACAAGCTACACCACCCCGTCCACAGACCCAATGCCGACCTCTGTCATCACCATCACCACCAGCGTCATCGTAGTACGTTGCTGATAGTAGCGGTCATTGTAAATTTCACTCTACATATGTGTGATCATAGTCAAAGTCATCGTCGTCGCCATCCCCCAGCATCAATGTATCGGCAGGCATGGCCGACATGTGCACGAAACATACGCTGCACGATGACTTCACTTAAATTCGGTCTAATCCGCACAACTCAACAAACTTGACATACAAACGATGCAGCGATGTGCATTATCTCATCCGAGCTGCTTGATCTGAGGCTCGACATGTGCGGCCAAGCGGTTGTAGCAGCATCGGGAAATCATTCGGATCCAATTGCTGTAGCTGATGCTCTGAATCCTCCGCACCTCCACCAAAGGAAAATGAGGTCAAGCAGAAACAAATATTTTCCGAAGCCAAGCTCCCAGCGCACAAAGCGCAAAGAAGGGGGGAAAGCCTGCGAAAGAGACTTCTGAACACCTTTGCTGTCGTGCTGCCGACTCAGCGCCGCACGCCACGCCCGGTGTAGCGCCTGCGTCGGTGCCGCTTTTGCATGAGCGGCCGCAGAATAGTCGCAGGAGGAGATGGCTTGAACGCGTGGCGCTGAGTGCCGGGCTTGCAGTGCCAGTTGATCTCGTCAGAGGCGGCCTTGTTGAGGCAAAGCCTGCAACCGGAGGCAGAGTCGCCAGGCAAAAAACACAGGTGCAGTCGCTGAGTGCTCGCCTGAAGGGCGGTTTGCTCTTCCACATCTCGCCGGTGACATAGTCGCGGCCTGTACAGACCGAACACGTTTTGGCGCGCGCAACGGTGGCACGTTTCTGCAAAGTCAACGCATGAGGCCCCGGCGGCCCAGCTCGTTGCAGAAGCGCTTGCCCTCGGCGTTCAGTATGATGCCGCCCACGCCGCGGAGGGCCTCAGGAAGCAGGCAGGGACGGGCGGGCGGAGCAGCGGTGCAGCGCGCTCCAAAGCAGACACGGCAGATGCTGCAACATCTGCCATGGCAAGGTTCCCCCCTGCGGCGGCCTCGGCGGCGAGGAACTTCATCTTGGCGTCGGCGTCGTCGGGCTTCGCAAGGCCCATGGGGTGGACATGCACCCACTCGAGGTCGACGCTCTTCGCGCCGGTCTCCTCGCCCATCTGCAACTGGTTGTACCATCGCGCCATGGCCTTACGTTTTGATCCCCATCGCTGGGAGTGGCTTCATTGCAAAGGGAATGTGCTGGATCTTTTGCCAGAGCTCAGGTCGAACATTGCAAGAGATGGAAAGGATCAATATGAGTTTACATTTACATGATGTTTACATGCATTTCACGGATACAACGAATATTTGCAATTTCACCTGCCTGGATTTTGAAGATATTGCCCAACTGCAGTAGGCAACGCGCTCGCCAAGGATGGGATACTGCAGTGGCCCACTCTGCCACCAATTTAAAGTTCTTGGCCGCTAGCAGCGGGCAGAGATATGCACTGTCCAAATTCCTTGCAAGGAGGACAAGAGCAGCTTCCAAAAGGCCAGGAACAGTGGCCCCACCCAGATCAAAGGGGGGGTGTTTGTCAGGAAAATGCATCGAGCAATCCTTTCAATGTGGCCGAAACGCACCTGAATGCTATTTCAACATGCCGAAGCGTGCACTCCATAGATTTTCTGTGGGAAAAGGGGCAGAAAACCCTGCTGTTGCATACCGAAGCTTCCTCATCAGCATGTTCAAACCTTCGATGCCGGCAATCAAGACATCAAATTTTCGGCCCGGCTTCGAGCTAAAGTATTCATACCTCGGCCAGATTCTATTTTCGATTGCACTTCCCTCAACAGAGAAATGCTGGAGCTCCAACTTTCCAAAGCCTTAACTAAAATGCAACCCCCCACAAAAATGCATCAACTAAGCGGATCTGGGCCCTTGGATCTCAAAACGCAGTCCCAAGCCACTGCGCTTCGAAGAAATGGGCTTGAAGCTGCTTCCAGAAGTTCCTGGCTTGCAGAACCAGGTGGAGGAACAAAGTGCAATTCAAATCCAGCGATCTGTAGAGTTTGCAGATCTCCCTCTCCCCGCACTTTTTTCGTGTCACAAATTGTTCGCCTTTTGGCGGCAATGTTTTGCTTGTGTTTTAAGCAGGTGAGATTAGCCGCTGAATTTTTCAAGGGGCTTTGTGACGTGATAATTCAAATTGGTCACGTGAAAAATCCAAATTTCTCTACTGCACCCCTGGATTCATCGCCTTTAATGCTTCTAGCTGGGCCAGAAGCATGGCGCTGGCTTGACCCCCATGCGCTGCCATGATACGCAACTTCTCTTCTGGACTCATGCCGGCAAACAATGGATTTTCCGGTGGTGGTGGGCTCCAAAACGCAAAGCCCTCCCCGACCAGCTTTCCGTTGCCTTCCGTCACAGGGCCAATCCTCTCGTTGCTGTTCGGAATGTTGTCATGAAGATTGAACTCTCGAGTGAGGTCAAAGTTCTGAGAGCTCGAAAGTTGTACACTTTGCCCATAGCGAAAGTCTTTGCATACGTGCATGATGACTGTCAACATCTCTTTCCAATTCTGCGTGCATTGCTTCTCATGTACTTCGCAGGCCACTAAAAGAGCACCCGCGAAGGCCCCTGCCGGATGGTCCGGACGCTTCCGAGCCAACGCGGGGATGTTCTTGGCAGTTTCATCATCAGCCGCTGCGCTCACACAAATCACATCGGCTTCAGAATAGTAGCCACCCTGATCCAATTGCCACTCAGTCCCCTCCGTAGAGGGTTGCCAATGGTAAGGGAGATCCATCCCGGTTCCACTATGACATGCATCCAGGAAACACGTCAAACGCACACCCGCAGGTAACGGCTGCACCAAGATTTCATTCAGCTCATCATCAACCAACAATCCATTCTCTTCCATATCCACTGGACACAAGGCCTCATCAAAGCCATCTTTTTCCCTGTCATTGGTGTTAGGTACTCGAGAGCCATGTCCACTATAGTAAAAGAGAAGGCTGTCTCCTGCAACGGCTTCATCTACCAACCACTTGATTCCCGCTTTGATGTTCTCCTTGGTAGGTCTCTCACTTTCTGGTGTGTTCTCAGCATCCATCAGTACCTTTATGGTCTCGGGTGCATCGATGAAGCCGTAGTGCTCACAGAAGAAATCCTTCATTTTCCAAGCATCCTCATGACACATTTCCAGAAACGAAGACGTGCCAGCATAGCAAACGCCCACGAAAAGGGCTTTCCGTCGGGGTCCATTCTCTCGTTGTTCTTGCGGCGATCCAGTGATGCCCTCGGGGATCAACGTGGCCGCCACACGAATGGCTGCTGTGTCACGGACACCCTCCGCTTCAGCTATGACGTCATAGTCGTCCACCTTCCGTAGGCCAGGGACCAAGTTTTCCCACTTGATCGTCACTGAAGCAATCCTGACCTGTTCTTCTCGACTCTTTCGCTGCATCACTGCAAACTCAATTTCAATAGGTTTTCCTTCATAACCAAGTTCACATTTGTGTTTTGGCCACTTCGGATTCGTTGCTCCATGATGTGTCTCTGTGCGAAATTCCTTGCCTTCATAGGTAAACGTGGCATAGCAATTTGGCGGATCCACAAAAAAGTGGCGCCCCATCTGCACCTCAAGCACCACCGGCATAGCGTCGAGTCAACACTCTTGCCCAACTATCCAACAAGCCGAGTAGCTTGAGCCAAAAGTGTGTAATATATCATAGTATGTCTGCATAAGTGTGTAATATGTAACATGCAAATATGTAAATATGCACTGCATATCTTTGAAATTTCTTGCCTCAAATACACTCATGACTCATGCAGTATTCACTGCCATTTCCAACTGCCAAGGTTCAACGCGGGATTTCTCGGGGAACCCCATGACACCTGTAGCACAACATGCAACTGGGCCCTTGGCCACATCATCGGCGCTGTTTACGCACAGCAGCCTTGGCCAAAGGCTCTCTTGCGTTTTGGGGTGCACATGGGATTATAATAGGAACCAGAGTGGAGGAGCTCGAACTACAGTTTTTTATAAGGACAACCCGCACATGTTATGGTTTTTGGTTTTAGGGTTTGGGGTTGAAGGTTTGAAATGTAAGGCTTTGGGCCTAAGGGCTCGGAATGGATGCTTGCCATGGAGGGTTTTTAGATAAAGGGTCTGGAGTTGAAGAGTTTCTGTGGGGAATTCAGGGGGAACAACACCCTTCAACCCTTCAAGTTACACCATGCAAGAATGCCTCAAACACTGAACATACTCAACCCTTAGCCTTTCATTCTACACCGTCAACCCAACGCCACAAACACTGA